GCTCCTATGAGTTCAATAACCCTCCTTCATGAGCTCACAAAGAAACTATTTATTATGCACATCGTCCAAACCTCAACCAGACCTCTTATGACATGAATCATTTTGAATCGTTAAAACCTGAAAACGTGGGAGAAAGTAAACAACAAAAGAAAACACATCCTCGTTTTACTCCTTTTCTGTCCGATGTATCTGTACAAATCCCTGATTTCACATGCAGGTGTACATGTATGTTGCCATGGTTACCACGGTTAGGGGATGTTGGCTAATTAAGCACACCGCTTAGGAGATCACTTCCTTGACAGCTACCGTAATCAGCAAATACATTTAGCTGTTTATCCTTTGAAATTGTTAGAAAATCACATTTTTCACAGCTTTCATAGATTAACTGCACAAAATGAGCAAACTAATCAGGGTTTGTTTGAACCCAATGAAACATGTTGGTGTGAAAGCCTTATCAAGCCAGAGAGAAGCAAAACACAATGCATGGGCTACACAGGTTTTCTCTGGAACTGCTCATTTTCTTACAATTATTTCGAGAACGCTGTAATCACAACCAAAAGAAAAAACCCTACACATAGTGGCTTTAAACAAGAACACAAAGTGAAAAGCCTCCATCTATGTCAGACATGTTGTTGCTGCATTCGGCCTGGATGCCTCCAGTCGCACGGATCTGCAGCTCACACAGACTGTCTGATCACAGAAAGCTGATGTGAATATTAGTGGGATGTAGCCTGGTCAGTAGGTGGTTAGCCGACGCACGTTTTCACACTCGCTAGCCCGTGCGTGAGCGAATGTGTATGTGAGAGAACATATACGTTGTATGTGTGAATGTGAGTGTAAAAGACAGAAATGCTGGAGTTTGTTTACAAGGGATTTGGCATTTACAGTGACATTAATCCTCCCCCCCGTTTGTATTCTGTAACAACTACTACCACAACAGTCATGACAGCTAATTCTTTCGGAAACTGTTGCAGATTCAATCGGTGTTATTAAATTGTTAATAATGCCAAAATCTGACAGGCAAACCGTGGGCTTTCTACACTGGAGAGAGACCACACTTTTTAATTAGGTAAGTAATGTGGATTTCTCTATATTTGAGCTCACTTTGAACAAAAAACAGTTAAAATCCACCAGCTAATGTTATGACGATAGAGAGAAAGCTACACATATATTGACATACAAATTCTAAATCAAAACCACAGAACCTGCCTGCAATCACCTCCTCTCAGGATGTACAGATTGGACTACTGTCTCAGTATAGATACCTTGCAATTTTAATCGATGACTGTCTCTCTTTCACATCTCACATCCAGCAGTTGGCAAAGAGAATGAAATTGAAACTGGGTTTTTATTTTAGAATCAAGTCTTTCCTGTCTTTTGAGGTCAAAAAGGGACTTGTTGCCGCCACTTTTACATCTGTGTTGGACTTCGAAGACACGATATAAATGAATGCTTCCGCTCAAAGCCTGAGTGTTTTAGATTCAGTTTATCACAGTGCTCTAATTAAGGTTTATCACTAATTTTAAATCTTTCTCACATCATTTTTTGCTGTACTCTCATGTTGGATGGTCAGATTTGACCACACAAAGGAAAAAACACTGGCATGTTCTAATCTATAAATGTATTTTCGGCTTGCTTCCTTGTTATTTACAGGTTTTTATTTGCACAAAACCTGCAAGTACTTACAGTCTACGGTCCCAGGATCTATGTTACCGTCTGTTCCCAAAGTTAGAACAGAACAGGGAAAGAAAGTGTTTAAATTCGCTGCTCCCGCTACCTCGAACACTTTGGAAAAAGTCCTGAAACTTCAAGAGCTGGTCTCTGTAAACACTTTGAAAGTGTTCTTAAATGACTTGGAGGCAAAAACATCCATCTGCAGATGTTCTGACAGATGATTCTTTTTGCTAGTTATGTTTCCGATCTCTGCTGATGTGTTGATTTCTTACCGTCTACATTTAATTTCACCATGTGTTATGATTGTGTGGATGCTGTTGTGACCTTGTCAACTGTGCTGCTGCCAGGACACTCAAAGACAGAGAGATTTTTCATCTCAATGAGCCTTTTCTTGGTTAAATAAAGGTTAAATAAAAAACAATAGAACATTTCTTTCTGTTCAGTTTACCTGGCTGCTCCTGTTTATATTCTGCCACTCAAACTTCCTTAAAACCGCAGGTGTCTTCCACAGACAGGTGAACCAGCCGTGCTTCTACGTGCTGCAATCCATTCCTTGACTCGATCTCACCTACGCACACGTCTACACATGCTACCCATAAAAGCCATCAGTGTGCATCGAACACTCCTGTGTGTGTCCACTTACAGACAGAAAGGCAGCAGAGACAGCAGGGTCTCTTTGGTGGGGCGGGCTGTGAACTCCGGCAGAGTCTGGATCAGTTTGTTCATGACCATGCGAAGGTAGCCCTGCAGCTGCTTCCTCCTCTCCTCCACAAACTTGGCATCCTGCAGACAGAGACAGCAAAACAGAGCAGAGAGAGAGAAGAAAGTGCTCCTTATAAATAATTGTTGAGGTCAAAGCTGCAACGTGCAACTGTTTCTGTCACATTCCCTGGCGATAATCAATATTTTTATATTGAACATGGGGTGCTTGACTATGTATAATGAGAAAGAGGCTGCTCATAGCGATGAACCCACAAACAATCATCACCCTACTCTGCAGTTCTCCTCGGCTCTCGATAGCTTCATGGCGTCTTTCAAATCATTGTTTTTGTATTCTGGCTCGCCACTTTAGTGTTTTGGTTCGATCTCACTGCTCTTGTAGAATCATTCTTGGCCGCAGCACCAGCTGGTTTAGTATGCATTCACAGATATGCTGGACAAATTCTGCCTTTCTCCCTGCCGTAATAGATTAAAATTTACCAGCCAAGTGTTTCTGGGTTTGTTTTTGGAAGGTCATAAGAGTTACAGCTGTTTATCCTTGACAGATTTTAATGAAGCGACAAACGTAGCAACTGCCGGGTAAACATAGTGGAGCAGCTAAAGAGCCAGATATTTCTCTCAAGGGTTTAGGAGAGTGGAGTGCAAACTGTACATGTACGACAACATAATGTATGAAAGGTTTCTAGACCGTGAAGGATGTTTAAACTGATATTTTGGTTGATAGATTAAAAAAAAAAAAAAAAAAAAAAAGAAACACAGAACTTTGTTTATAAGTTGCCTGATCATGAAACTCTATATTTCCCAACACCCCTTATTTGCCAAAGATTGGCTCATGTTCAAGACATTAAACATGTAGGTCATCCAGTCCTGCTGCCAGTGGACTGTGGGCATCAAAGTGAGGGTAGTAATTGCATTTAAAAATACCAGGAATGATGGCAAAACACATGACAAAATCAAAGACGAGCAAATGAAACATGGTTCAAAATAGTTTCATTTTAACTTTCATTTCGGTAACTTTGGCTGTGCTCTTTTTTTTTTTTTTAGTGTCTTCATGGTTTTGTTTTTTGCAGTACCAGTGTTGCTTCTCTCAGCTTCTGGCCAAATAATTCCAAGGAAGTTACAGAGCACAACAGGATAACTGACAGATCAAGGTATGAACCAGGGGAAGATGCTGGTCTGACAAACACATGCTCTCTTTTTTAAAGATTATTTTTTCAGGTATTTTCTTGCCTTTCCTAAGTTGAGAAGTGACAGATGAAAGGGGTAGCGACGTGAAGCAAGTCATGCCAATCGATCCACTGCTATGGGGAGGGGCAGAGCACCAACATTAACTTTCTTGAAGCAAAAAAAGTCGCATTTTTCAGACCGCCTCGTTGGTGTGCCAGATTCACATCCTGCAAAGGCGGCCTCTACGACGTGTCCCTCTGAGTTTTTCTGCTGTTCATACAAATGCTGTTTGGTTGCATTTAAAATCAACAACACTTTGAACTGTCATGCTGTCATTGACCGGAACGCCAAATCCCCACAAATCTCCTAAAGAGGGATGGTGCAAACACGCAAAAAAAAACTTGCATTTTTTAGGACTGACACATTTAATATTTTGTGTTTACTTTGTCATTTTGTGTCTGATGTCGATGAAGCGTTGTCATCTGAGCATTCAGACCCACTTCCACTGAGCGACTCTGGAGGCAGGGGCGCGCAGCCACATGGCCGGTGCTAGCATGGCTAATCGACATCCAGCAAGGCTCAGAACAAAGCCTGGGCAACGCTTCGTTTTACTCTCTGGTGCTTGGGACTGGAACACACAGCCATTGTGGGAGGCCAACATTTTCCTGTTTTTTTTTTTAAACTACTGCTTCTCTTTTGATCTGAAACCCCAGATGAGTTTAATTGTTTTGCATTAAAATACACATTTGATTGTTCTGTAAAAGAACAATAAAGAGTTTGTTGTACCACAGCTTGGAAAAATGAAGAGACACTTTAGTTTTCTTCTTCTTTTTTTTTTAAATGCAGGTGAGAAGAAATATTTTAAAAACCAATTCACAATCAAAGCACGGATAACACAAGGCTGCTGTAGATTCAAATTCATTAATAAACAGGTGCAATGAAAAGACTGCTGGTTAATAAATGTTTCACATTTGAGGCCCATGGGGACTTCCTTTTCAAAAAGTTACCTCCTATTTTCCCAGAAGCAATTAAATTCACACTCACACTTCAACAATGCTTGAAAAATAAATATAATCAAGGCTTTAGAGATAAATAAAGATGAAAAGACTGCACTTTCCCTCATTTTAAAAACTTGCTTGCAGCGAGGTGCACAATACAATCCATAACAGCTTTAATGGTCTCATATGGTGAAAATCAGATTTCATTGTGTTTTGTGGTTGTTAAAAACTTGGAGTTGTAAAGTAAAAGCTGCTTAGATATGACGATGTTTACTTCTGCCATTACTTAAGCCCCCCCACAGCCTGATAGCCTCCCAGCTTTATAGGCGGGTATGAATTTAGCTTCAGTGCTCCCTAAAAGCTAACTACCCAACAGACTTTGCACAATCTGTCCACTTGCTACTTCCAGGTGAGTCATCCAGGATGAGCAGCTGCCTCACAGTCCATGAGGTTTACTTTCTAGAGCCGCTTTTCCTAACTGTAAAATGTGTCAACCACAAGCAAAGCACGGCCCATGTTCTGCTGTTGGCTACAAGAGCGAACACAAGAGTCTTCATGCACGCCCAGCATTTGAGCGATGAAAGATCTACTGGATTACTTTTATTGTTGATCGCAATTTCCCCACAACAGTAGAAAAATCCTGATTGTTAGCATGTTGTGCAGCTAATGTTGCTAACGATAGCTTTGATTGTATGGCCACAGGTCGGATCAGTGTAGAATCTGTGATGCTGAGGAGCATTCAGAGATGGTGGAAGCTTTTATTCTGAGACCAGTAAACAAAGGCCTGGATGTGTTTCTGTGTTTTCGCCTGTTGTGCTTCAGTGTAACCTAAATTCAGTGTGTTTGCTTTTCCTCTGCTCTCTGTGCTCACATATTCCCCAAAAAGCTGTTCTGATTTACATATTTTTCTGTTCCTGTTGTCAGACAAATGAGCATGGGCTGAAGTGACTGAGATGCAGGCGGTTATGACCACATCTTAACCAGCACTTACTTCATAGTCATTTCCCAAACTGTGGCAATACAAATGGAAAGCAAAGGCTGTGCAGGCTGTGATATTTTTATGTCAAATAATCACTCAGAGAGAAAGTTAGAAGCAGTAAGTCCTGGACTTACACCCGTGTCCCAGTGCCAGCTGTGGCCAGCTGTTTTTCTCTGCGCTGTCAATCACACATGCAGAAAGAGTCATCGAAGGGATAGTACAGTCATCGTGAAATGAAACATCTTTGCAGTATTTTGAGCTGGATTTTTATTTATTTTTTTCTAAGGGGGATAATATACCTTTAAAAGAGAGAGCAACATACACAATAGAAAAACACAAATACAAAAAGAAATAGTTGCCGGAAAGAAGCCTAAAGCTGCTACTTTTATCCAGATGTTTTCATTTCTGTGAACTATGATGACGACATCTGGCCAATGGGAGTTTCTGGTGTAGCAACATGTAAAGGATCCCTCACTGGCTTCCCATCCAGAAACACTGTCTGCAATGAAACACAGTTCTGTGCACTGATGGGAAAATGTGTTATAGCGCTTTTTTTTTTAAGGTATCAAAATGTTATAGACGTGTGATATGACGTCATGCATCCACCCATCTACCAGTTTACAAGTACAAATTCACAACTCACTTTCCACTCAGCTGACTACTGCATCACTTCATGTTTTGCCAACAGTGGCGTCACTGTCACATGCTCACTTGTGAATGCAACCTGCCTCATCACTTAAAGCTAATTAAAGACAACCATCAGCACTTCTTATGTTGTCGTGTCCCAGTGCTGAGTCAGTGACTGTGTGTGAATCACTGTGTGCAACAACTCGTGGAAAATGTGGTGACAAGAATTTCCACAAATGCATATTCCAATTACTGAGGCATATTAGCTGCCTTTGGCTGCATATTTATGTCATGGCATTTTCACGTTTTGCCCCTCTGAGCCTACAAGAAAGTTGGTAGATGATATGCAGCGCAGTGTCCAGAGAGAAGTAGATAAGATGTTCACTGTAGCCCCAAGTAGAGGATAAGTACGTACGTTTAGGAGAGTAGCAGTGGATAACTAAACTCTGCTGCATGCAGGGTAAAAGAGACGGGGCAGGAGCGGGTAAATCTGATGTGTCAGATTAGGCTGTGCATGCCAGCGCGGGTTTCATGCTATGTCAACACAATAAGGGACACCCTGACTGCTTTCACGGATGTCAGAGCAGTAATAACACTAATGGACATCATGACAGATTCATCCTCTTGTGGAGACAGAGAGGAGGGCTGAAGAGGCCAGGTGCTGTCTCTTGTTTGCAGAGAGGAACGAGAGGGCAGAGCAGAAACTGCTGTGGCATACTGATGCTGGTACAAGGCTGATTCTGTCCTCTTACATCTGTCTGCTTACATGCAGCCATCTCAACGCTGCTCTTTCCGAGCTTCCTCCCCTCCTCTTCTTTTTTTCAACAGCGCGTATGACACGGAGCCTTAATAAGTCTATTTTTATTTATCATATGGGCACATATACGAACATGAAGGTGTGCGAGGCTTCGTTGGAGCATCTTGTGGCCTATTTCTGTCCTCTTCAGGCGCTTCATAAATTGCACACATCCTGTTCAATCAATATGAAGGAAGACACACGAAGCTTTGTTACAGGTTTAGTCAAAACTGAAATAAGCTTCACAGTCTTTACTTTTGGAATCTGTTTTAACCTCAAAATCTGAAATCATCCTTTCGCTGCATCGTGGTCTGCTAATTCATGGATTCACAGATACAACAAAAGAGCTCTTTTCAAGAAAAACTATTTGCCAAAATAGCCACAGTTCGCTGTAACTAAAGCTAAAATCTATTTTCTCCAATATGTGAATAAAAACATCTTTTCTGATAGTCCCATATCTAGTCGACTTGACTACCTGAAGCGGTGGTGTAGCTGA